TTGAGAATAAATCAGTTTTGTTTCCATAGACATAGCAAAAGCGGGTTGGACTGGAGAATTTCTTATTTTTTTTGCTTAATTTTTCCAAATTTGTTTTTATTGTTTTTTGATTTATGTGAGGGTTAAAATTATATGTATTTATATTAAATTAAATATTTTGATTATTTTTTATCTTATTTTATAAGTTATTCGGAGTAAAAACGTTAAATAAATAAGAATTTTAACAAATAATTTCTGTCAGTATTAGAAACATCTAAAATTCGACCCTGCTTCTATTACTGATATATGTGTCAGTAATACGTCTAAAATCCATATTTTTAAAAATGTTGTCATATTTAAAATATTTAAATTTTTATTTTCGTATTTATTTAATTAAAATCGAATTTGAATTTTCTTTCTAATGTCCGAATTCTGACACTAAGAATTCATTATAGTTTCGGAGTATTTTAGCTTTAAAAACTAGTGTCAGTAATAGGTTCTAAAATGGGTCAGTATTATGTACAAAATTATGTCAGTATAAAGTTTTGATTTTGATATTCATTTTAGTTAATTAAAATACTTTCTTTATACTTTAAAATTCTTTAAATTATTTCTGTCGAATCAAAATCGATTATATTTGTGAAAACCTATATCTGACGCCGACCTTTTTACCTTTTTAATAGTGATATTCGTCTGATAAATTTTGTGTCAATATTGTGTACAATACTGTCAATAAAACAGTACAATTCGCCTTCTAATAAAAAGCTTTAAAATTATGGTAAACGTTAACGTCATAACAAATATCACAATGGAAATGGTTCTCTTTGAATAAGAATAGTAGTCCTTTTTAATATCCCAAAATGTTGTTAAAAAATTAAGAATGGGTTGCTCTCGTTACGTAGCTAATACATAAATAGTCTTTGTAAAACAAAAAGCAGCTTAGAATAGGCATATCAATTTCTTGTGATATGGGTACATCATATTTTAGGTATTATTTATAAGAATACATCTGTAGCAAATATTACTTATAATACTTTATAAAAAATTATATAATTTCGAATTAGATTTTCATAAATATCTTTTAAAAATTTTTATTTATTCATTGTTTCATATTAAGACTACTATAGTAAAAGTACATTCTACAGTAATAATAAATTCAAATCAGCTGAATTTCACATATTTTTACCTTTAATTCAATAAAAAATATGTTTTTAATTTTTGTTTGAATTATATTTTGATTCATTTTTAATTTTTTTTTAAATAAGTTGAAATATCCATGGAAATCTAAATTATTATTCCATTTTTATTGAATAATATCATTTTAACCATTTTAAACCATTACTCATATATAGAATATGGATTACAGCATATAAAATTACATTGTCAGTATTAGGAACACAAACTGTCAGTAATAGACACAAACATTTGTGGATATGTCAATATTAGGAACATTTTTTCTTTTCATCTTTAATCGAAAAATTATGAATTAAAAAATATTTTGATTAAATAATTTTATAAAAAACATTATTCTCAATTATCGAAATTATTCAAAAAATTGGAAACACGATCATTTATTGTGTCCCACATATAAAATATCTCACGCCAAAGTTGAATTTGTTGCGAAATATGTCAGTAATAGGGACACTTACCTTATATAAATCGTTGTTCTGTACCTCTATAATCAAGATAATTAAATTTAATAGATGATTCGGTATGAACGCTTAACTATTCTTTTGCAAATATTTAATACGTAATCAAAACTAAAATATAAAAGATAATTTTCTTCATTTTTATTTACTTGTTTTATTGACTATTAAACAATTAGTTAATTGTATTTGTTACTTAATCATGATAAAACTTAACCATTAAAATCTCTATTTATTCTCTATCTATATTGTTAATATACACGCCCATCATTCAATTATAATCAGTTTCTTATATCAAACTATTTGAATGATTTTCTATTATTAATTTTATATAGAACTTTATACATACACATTGTCACATTCATTTATATATGTACGTGCATATTGCATTTATTGCCATGAATGTTTGCTATATACTTGTTTGTACTAAACTAGTACGTGCATATAATGGGTATAGGAAATTACTACTGTGCAAATGTTAAAATATTTGCTATTCTATTTCTCTCTTTAAATATTAGTTTTTATATAGAATTATTATTATTACGAGTAATGAAATTATTATTGAATTTGTAAAATTGCGAAAGGTATAGAGAACACTCAAATAAGAAAGGCGAGTGTTGTACTTGAAGAAATAATGAAATAAAAGGTGTGGTTCAGGAAGAAATTAAAATTTTAATTCTTAATATTTTGGATTTGCAAGCATTTCCATCTCTCAAAATTTACGGTATAAAATTGCTAAAGTTTTCGGTACTTGTTAGAAAAACAATTGTCGTTCTCTTCTGCTCGTCTTCCGAATTTTCTTACATAAATGTGTATTCGTTCCCCTTGGCTTTAGGTGTAGAATCGTGATGGCGTTAATTTGCATTTCCTTTTCATATTAAAATATTTAAGAATAAAAAAATATTTGGAAATACTATTGGTAAAACTAAATAAATCTTCACGGCCTCATATAATTACACTTTAGAATAGATTGGATTAATTATACAAGAGCATTAGATTTACCTATTGCGTCACTTCGGCTAAAGCATTCCCCTTTGAGATCTAATTCTCTAATTAGTTCTTTTGGTGACCGACCGTCTGGAGTTTTTTCTTCGAAAGTGTATAGTATAGTAACTGAAAAGTTTTCCTCCCTTGTTAATCAAAGCTTCACATTCCTACCAAAAGGTGTGTCAAGCTGTTCTTTTTACACTTGCAAATTTTGTATAACTTTATTTAACATATGAAAAATTAAATTAAATTTTAACATTTGTATGAATGAGTCAAATAACGAAGGTTAAATGATAATTAGCCCGTAAGGTTTTAATTGCAATCATAAAATAAAACTATAAGGCTATGTTGCTCACACACACGCGCTTGTATATATATTTATAATTTTCTGCATAACAAGGACATTCAAAAACAAAACTACAACAGCAAAATATTTCATGTTTTAATTTAAGTTTTAAGATTTTTCTTTTTTTCGATATTCTTGTTAATTATAACGTAAAATGACTGACATTTTGATTATTTGTTAAGTATATTTTTGATTGACCTGACCTGCTTACTAAAAAAAAAAAATTCTTTTAATTTATGAATAATCTATATTTAGATATCGCAGTTACCTTAAAATATTGCATTATTCTAGGTTATTTGTGTATAATACTTACGTGATATGTTCGATACTTTATTAACCTTAAAAAAATCACAATAAAAAAATCAAATAACCAATTTCTTTTATAATTTGTGGACATTATTTTTATGTATGACAATTATTTTCCTCATTCACAGAGTGTACCGCTTTAACTGACAGTACTCCTAAGTTATCGTAAATAAGCAAGAAATACCCGTAATTTTGGAAAATTGTTATATGACAATGTTCAGTAGAAAATTATTTAAGTACAATTTTTAAAATAAATGAGCTCCGGTACGACAACATATTACTAAAATGCGTGCAATATAATAGAAATACCGCAAATATTTTAAAATTTTCATATTTGACAGTTCTAATTTGATAAGAAAATTATCATAACAATTGATTAATGAGAATGAATATGACTTAGTGTTGCCATTGAGCATGCAATATTTTTTGAATTGAATTGATCGTTCACAATAGAAAATTTATTATGTAATTCCCATTTATAATACAAGAGAACCCCACGTGTTTTTGGGAAACATAAATTGTCAGATTAAAATCCCGGAATACCTTATTGCATGTACTTGAACTCACATACATACATGTGCATTTATTCATACCCGATATCGTATATATATATGTGAAGTACCTTATTATAATAAAAAAAAAATTTCAACTTTTCGTGTCAATTTGGTATGAAAAGGAAATTGATTTTATGGTTTTTCAATTTTTAATCAAAGTTAAAAAGTTTGATAGAAAAAAATCAATTTTGTAAGTTGTTGTTTTTTTTTTTGTCTTCTTATCATGATTAAATTTATTTTTTCTTCTTCTCTTTCTTTCAAGTTTTGTAAAACATGTCCTTGCTGATTTTTTTTCTCCCCCTGAAAGGGATTCTTAAATTTAAATAGTTACGGGTTGTTTGTTATTATAATTTAAGTATAATATGCGCATAGAAACTTATAAAAATGTAAATGGGAGTCAATAACTTACGCTTGGAATATATTTTCAAATTTTGGATTTTTTATAACTTAGAAGGTATTATATTTAAAATATAGCTTGAGTAAGATAGTAAAGGGAATGGAGGTCGATCTATAATTGCTTAGCGGACTCATTAGGGATACGGTGACGCTGGAGAGCGTGAATCATGTTTTCCGTGAATGTTTGTTGTTGATGAGAAAAAGAAAGCGTGCTTCAGGTGGCGATTGTTTAATTCGTGATAGGGAGGTTGGTTGTTTAATCTAGTTTATAGGATCTTAATTTTTTCGAATGCGGTATTATCGACACGAGGGTGGTCAATTATTAAACTGAAGTCGATTAATATTCCTAGCGGCGTTTCGCTATTGGCTTGAGTGACCAGATGGGCCTTTCCCCCATTCTTCGAGTAAAGCTGAGATAAAATTGTGATGAAGTTAACTCTCCAATCATAGTATCTTTTTCTGAACATGTGCGACATCTGTGTACCAAATTTTACAAAATTTTATTGTCAAATATTCTCTATTTTCTCATATTTCTATTATTACTTTCGTAACAGTTCTCTTTGATGTAACAAATATCTTGTTATTGCTTATGAAATTATAAAATTAAACCCAATTCAGGTTCATTCTGCTATAGTTACTGAATTCCTTAAGTAATTCTTATAAGAAATTCCAATTTAAATATGCTTTGTATTTTTGAATTTTTTTTTTCTATTGTCAAATTCAAAATTTATCAAAAAGGAATTTTATTTTAATTTTTATAAATTTTTTTTTTTGTTTTTTATTCAGGATCAAGATGGTAATAAATCGGCTACACCATCAAGACCTTCAAGTGCACCAGCTGAACCAAATGCTAAAGCTGCACGTAAAGCATCTAAAAAAATGGAAAAAGAGGCCAGGTATGTATGGAAAATTTTAAAATAAAATTTAAAATTTTGAAAAAAATTAAAAATGAAAAAAAATTTTTTGCCGTTTTAAGTAACTTTTGCCTTATGCTTAATTTTTTTCTATTACCGGGGTCAAAATATGTAATTACTATTTAACCGATGCCCATTGGCAACATTTTGCATTTTCAGACGTATATTTAATCAATTAAGAAGCTCGAATTTAATTGATAAATAGCAAAAAATTAGGTGTGCCCAGCTTAATTTTTAAACTCTATTTGCCGTGTTCCTTTTTGAGTTTTTATTTTGGAGAAAAATGGAAGAGAATATTGATTGATTGTAAAGAAGTTTTCGTTTCGAAATGGAAATTGAAATTGAATTCTATCCTATTTTATATACCATATATGTATGCTGAAATTTGTGCGACATAGAATCCGTTAATTTGCAACTCTCCACAGAATTTTTCTAAACTCCATGTTCCATATAAAAGTTTGTAATTAATTGAGGGAAGCAGTCAATGAGTTATGATCCAATACTAATAACAATAATTTATTGTAACTGCAAATGGTAGCTTGTCAAAACAAATTTATTTGGTCTCTCACGTAATTTTTTTTACTCACACATTTTAAATTTTATTGTAGAGTATTTCATTTCTTTGTAAACTATTCGGGAACATTACATAATTTACTATGAATTTTTTTTTTCATAGTTTTCCATTTTGGATTAACATTTTCGTAGTGACCTTCATAATACAAAAAAAAATACAAAAACCAAAAGCAAACATTGTGTTTTTTCTGTAAAAAAGACTAAAAAGGACTTTATATGTCCTTTTCACATACGATAAAAAAATTGTTTTTTTCTTTCTCTAATGAATGGTTTATAGCGTAGAAAAATTGCATGTTGTGTTTAAAATTCGATTGTTATATTAAAAAATATTTCGGATCGCTGTTAAATTCTTCGCTCTATATAGAAAATTTAAACACCAAAATGGAATAATAAAAATGGCATGTTGTCGTCGCGGTTTAGAATGTAAAAAAAAAAGAAGCAAAATAGAAAGAAGAAAATTTTTATTTTATGAAGTCATACCTAAGAATATTCAGAGGTGTAATAGTGTACAAAAAAAAACAGAAAAAGGGAAAATACAACCAACGCTTTTGGAACTGAACAAGAACATATCACCTTTTCCCAAGGACAAAAACTTCTGTTTTGGTGTTTTTCATTTACTTAAATTTTTTTTCGAATAAAAGAATTTTTTCTATTTTTTTTTGGTAGTTGGTTTCAGATTAAAACGTGTAGGATATGGTGGCAAATTTTTGATTGGTGGAGTCAGAGAGAGAAGAAGTGAAAAAGTTTTACCAAAACAAAATTATTTTCATGTAAAAATGATGACGCTTGATAATTTCTTTTTGGTTTTAATGTGTGAAACTTTTTTTGTTTTTTGTTTTACAAAAATTTTCTACGAATTTTCCTTTTCAGAATGAAATTTCAATTTTAATGATAGGTGATTTGTAACCTTCAAAATAATTTACTTGTTATAATTTTTCTATTCTCTAATTTTTTGAAGTTGAAAGGCCTTTTAGAATCAGTCAAGGTCAAAATTATTTATAGTGATTACGATATTTTTGGTTTTTTTTGTTTTGGTAAAATTATGCGTTCTTTTCATAAATTAATTGGTAAAATTCTATTTACCTTTTTTTTTTCAATTTTATTTTAATTTACGTTGTTTATTTTCCAGTATGTGAACAAAATAATTATTTACTCGAAAATAATATTGAAAAGTCCATTTTAAACAAAGGGTAATTGGAGCAAAAATTTAACTGATTCAATCATAAGGTAAACGCGAACATTTTTTGTGGCTCGAAAGACTGCAAGTTTGCCTCCGTGAGAGCAAAGTCCTTCCTCCTAGTATTTCTCTTCTTTTACAAGCGAGAGCACCACACTTTGGATGTTTTGGTCTACTTTCCCAGTCCAGGGAGCTAAGTTGTCCTCTAAGTCTGCAGTGCCCCGACACGGATTCTTGGTCAACCCTATAATCTTCTTAAATCGCTTCTGATCATAATTTCCCGGAAACCCCCTGACCTATCTAGCGCTCACACCGCCTCCTCTGCCTCATTTCATTCTGCATCTACGTGAAAAACTGCCTAACTTAAAAACTAAGGTGAAGTATCACTTTCCAAATTTGTAAGTTTAAAAACAAGATGTCCAATTCAAAACATATACGACTTTGAGAATATTTAAAGTTCAAATTCGTTCCATAATGCAAATTCAATTCTACGCTACAAAAGTGCAAATTTTGTGAATTAGGTCCATTTGCTAAATGCTTGCTAATTAGATTAATTTATTATTATATTACAAAAATATTAATTCTAAAACTGTAAATTGACTATATTTTTTCAAATTTATTTTATTATATAATATAGACGACAAGAAAAAGAACTTCGTAATAAAGAAAAAGAAGCACGTAAACGATTAGAACGTGAACAAGCAAAATTAGAAAAATTAAATCGTAATTCAGAGAAAATGGCACGTAGTACAGAACGTTTAGCACCACGTTCTGGTTCATTAGAACGTCGTCGTAGCGGTGATGAATCACCAGTACTTAATCAATCAACTGTACATGGTATAGCAAGTCCAAATAGAAGACCAACAATATTTGATGTATTTAGACCGAGAACAAAATCAGATACAAAACGTAAAGAAAAAGATGCAGCATTACATAGTGGTTCAGAAAAAGATAATAGTAGTACAAGTAGTAATCATAGCGGTTCCGGTGGTATTATGAAAGCAATGAAACATGCTGTTCAAAATACAGTTGGACATCATCGGCATCATCATAATCATCAAGCAACTAGTGAAAAACCATCTGTTAAATATAGAGATGGTTCAGCACATCCACATCCTGGTAGTGATGCACAGGTAAAAAAAAACATTTTTTTTTTAATTTACAATTGTTAAATTGATTTAAAAATAATTTTTAGTATTATCATACTGTGACAGCTGTTAGAAGAGCAGATGTTTCACGTTCTCCAATGACAAAAGTTATGGATTTGTTTAGGTATCGTTCTAATTCAGCAGTAAATGAAGCTGATAAAAGAAAAGCGGTAAGTTTTAAATTTTCTTCTCTTAAATCTTTTATTAATTAAAATTTAAAATAAACTGAAAATTTTTTTTAATCCCGTATACCTACCTAATTTTCGAATTTCAATATTTAAGAAACGAATTTTTTAACGTTAATTTTATGTACTCATGATTTAGTCTAAGACACAAACCACGAAAAATTATTCTTAATAATTTTATTTAAACAATTGTTTTCTCTACAATACAATAGAGGCGCTAAAATCGTTAGAAAGTGTTTTTAAATTCAGAATTATTTTTTTCAGATCAGAAAACAATGATTAGAATAATATTTTTTATTACAGTTTATTACAGTCGAGAAAATTAATGAAGATTTAATTATTATATAAAATAATAGTTAATTAATTGATAAAATTAATTAATTTGCGTCTGTATACTTATATTATATAATTAATTCAGTAGAAATGTGAATGTATGTGAAGTTATAAGGCACACCAGTTGTTTGAATAGGCTAATGGCAGACATGCACAATAACGAAATTGATTTTAATTAAGCTTTAATAGTATTTATTTGATAAATTCTTATCTTATCTAATTGTATTGAAATTTTTATTATTATTTTAAATCATTCATAATTGGGAAATTAACTACAGCAGTTTAGTTTTAATTGACTATAGCACTCTGTGGGTAATTCTTCATGTTTCTTTCAATATTACTTTAAATATTTAGAAAAATTATGAAAAATATCTTTTATTTCTTATTCAATGATTTAATTTATGATCAATAATCTCAATAGATTTTTTAACCAAAACTTCCGTATGTCTACTTTTTGATTTGCACCTACAGAATATGCGAAATTTCTCTTAATATTCCTGCAATATTAAATTTAAAAGCATAAGAATGAATGCTTAGTAAAATTTATAGCTAATTCAAGTGCTCTTTCTTAATCAGTGATTTTTATTAATTATTCTGAAAAATGGATCAAATAATTTATTCAATACAATTTTATTACAATTTCTAATACTTCAAGTAACCATAATTTTTAAATTTTCATTAAAAATAAATTATATATTTTATTTTCAATTTAATTCATAAAATTAATCATTAATATATTTTTTTTCCTATTAATTTTATCAAGCACTTTAATTTCGAAATTAAAGGGTTTCATTCTTATTAAATTTTTCATGTAGTTTACCTCTAGCTAGAGGGTAGTCAGTTAGTTGCTCAAATAATTGCTCAATCAAATAATCTTTTGTAAAGTAAAAAACAAATAGTTATGAAAGGTCATGAAAAAAAAAATTATTATTGGTAGTTAAAACAAAACAATTCGGTTATAATTAAATTGTACTGATAAAAAAAAATAAAATCTAAATGGTTTTTATCAAAGAAACCTGAATTTTGTTATTTAATTTTCATCAAAGCGGAAATAATAGATTTAATATACTCATAATAATTTAATAATAAAAATTTTTGTAATTGTAAAAATAATTTAAGAATCATTAGACCATTTTTTCAGTGGAAAATTATTTTATTAAATTCTTTTATTACTTTTATTAGACTTATTTAAGAACTTGATTGAAGTTTTCCAAATTGAAAAAATTATCCAATTTGAAATTTAAAGTTTCGCCTCTTCTTAAGGTTGTGCAAGTCAATTTCAAAAATTTTGCTTAAGTTCTTCTTTATTCTTAATTATTGTTGCTTATTCTTCAATAGGGTGTTGTCTTGCCGAAATCCTTTGCATAGCTGTAAATTTTGTGTTTGTTTCATATTTGTGCTGTTGAATAAAGTATCACAGTTTTTACATTTTATCATTCGACAGGAGTCGCAACACATTTATAATTAAAAACTAAAATTAAAAGAAACATATCAGACTGCAATATTTTTGAGTGGCATGAATCAATTGTTAATTTCTACTTTTTCTTCATACTTTTATCAAAATTTAATGACTAATACTTAAGAACATCTTGATTATTAAATTTTGATAATAAAAAATTCAATGAAATAATTTAATTCATCGGTATTAGTTTCTAAAAATAACCAACACTTCATTAAGAAATTCCAATTATAAATATTTTAAAATAAAATTTTTTTTTTTTTATAATTTTATTAAGTTTTTAATTGGTCACTTAATCTTAATAATTATTGTTTTTATTACACAAAATATTTTTAGTAGACTGGTAGCATAAATGTCTAATATAGTTTATATTTCTAATATGAAAAGAGTTTGGGTGTTTACCACAATGCAGAACTAACGTCAAATTGACTTATTCAGTAATTAAAACAGTATTGTTGAATGATTCAAGTTGACGTTAGATCTGGATTCTGAAAGGCGTCGTTTATACAGAAACGAAAAATGATTAAAAACTGTGAAAAAATTTTAATGAAAAAAAAAACTGTATTGAAAAATTTTAATGAAAAATTAGTCCTATATTGGATTACGAATTCATGAGAATTTTCATTTCTTCCAAAAAATTCGGGTTTACCAATTCATAAGAATTTGTCTGTTTTAATATACCAGATGAGTTTTAAGGTGATATGAATGTATTACATAAATTTTTGGAAAGTACATGTGTATGTACTTTAATTGCACAGAAAACCCGAATTACCGAATTCCGAAGACATTTGCATTTAGTCAGGAGCAAGTTCTAAAATTTAAGTCTCTTTCTGGTTTTTCGATTTTGCAGTTGTGTTTAATCAAACTTATAATTTATTTTTTTTTTTTTCAAATGTTTTTTGCTATTTTTGATAAAATTCTACTTTTCATCAATATTTAATTTTCGTGAAAATAAACTAAATGTCATTAGCTTGTAGCCCCTTCTAATTGACCCTGTATATATTGACAATATTGCAATTGAAACAATTAAAATTTAAAATTATTTTAACTTCTTATTAAATTACCTTTAATTATTAATTAATGAATTAATTTGGTTTGTTTCGCATAATATAATCTTTATTATTTAATTAATACCGTTAGCAGCACACATTCCTAGAAAATTATTATTAAAACAAATATGATTTAAAGAGAATAGAAATATTTTGCTTTTTATCAGTTTATTAAACAGGTTTGTAAAATTTATTTTATTAACTATATAATGTAATAAATAATGAAGTATAAATATGAATGTATTCATGTTGCATATATGTAATATACGTCCGATTGTAACTGGTGAGAAAAACTACATGTTCGCTCTTAAACACTTTTAAGATAATAAAATATGGTTTACATTTACAATACTAGAATTACATATATTGTTTTATTATTACGTAATTGTGGTTTACCTTAGAAGATAAAAATAAAAAACAAAAACAAATATAATGTAATAAAGAGTAGAAATTTCTATTTGACGATCATTTTTTTACAATTAAAATTATTAAAATGCGCAATTTAATTTTGATTGAAAATTTTTTTTTTTTTAAATTTTTCAATTATAAAAATTTATTTTATAGAATTTATTGCATACTTATTGGAGCATTTTTCAAAATTTTTAAATTTAATTATTCCCAGTAGAATCTCCATTTTATTTTTTAATTTTATTTGATAATTGAATTTATTAAAAATCAACCTAATGAAAAATAAATGTTTTCAATCAATTTTCCTTAAAGAAGTCAGGTACTGCAATACTCCTAAAATTGCAAATTAATTATAAAAAAGTGTTTGGCTCAATATTTTTCTATTTACATAAAATGGTGTGTAAGGATTTGTGTCTGGAATTTTAATATTCCTGCAAAAAATTACATAATTCTCAAAATATTTTTGTAATAATCACGATCAATAATAATTGATTTAGCATTTTATATAAGTATTATGAAAAAATTCAAAATGATCAGTCAAAATCAACTTACTAAATATAGAACAGGATTGACCAGCAAAATTTATATTAAATTAAACATTATTGACAGAATTGAACAAGTTTACAAAAAAAAAAAACAGAGAAAAAAAAAGAAAATAAAAATTCCGCTTTTTGATTTTCGTGTATAGAAAAGAAAGAAAGAACAACAAAAACACACGCTTTTCTCTCCAATTTTTTTTTCTCTTACTACTGTTACTCTACTCTTTGTAAAAAACTTTGTTATCTTTTATTTTCTCTTTCTCTTTTTTTTTTTTTTTTTGATATTAAATTGTGATAATTTCAGTTTTGTTTTGACTGTCGTCGCATATACTACAAAAAAAATAAATGTAAAAAAAAAAATTATTTACTTATTTTATTTTCGGTGTTTTACCTCTCTTTTTTTTTACTATTGTAAATGTCATAAATGATCGTTTCATTATCTTGTTTGTATATTTTTTTCGTGTGTTTCAAGTGCCGGTTACCTGTTTTATTTTTCGATGCAGTAATAACGGAAGCCAAAAATAAAAATTAATTTTTTTCCGATTTTGAAAAATTGTAAAATAAAATATTTTATCTTTAATTCCTTATTATTTATTAGAAATTAATAAGAAAATTAATATTATAAAATAATAAAAATAATTATATAAAACCTAAATTTTGATACAAGTGATAAAGAATTTAAAATTAATTTAATTGCTATTTTAATTTTTTTTACAAAAAATATTGAAATTTTATTTTCATTTAAATAAAGTGAGTTAATTTTAAATAATTAAAAATGTCGCTTTGTTGAGTAAAAGTGTAAACTATTAAGCGCGAATACTTGTGTTGTACTTATTTCATGAAAGCCAATTTTTCCAACACTTTATACATTTCAAATGGCTTAAACAGAAAGATAAAATTTGTTTTTGTCGACATTGATAATTTTTGTTAAATATAACAATTATTGGATTTGATTTATTTCTTAATAATTAAAGTTGTTTACATGAAGTTAATTACAATGAATTATTAAAATAATTAAATTTTAAAATTAAAAATGAAAGAAATGTGTAGTTTTCAATAAATTTCCTTAAGTGCGCAGTGATTATTTCATATACCTATTTAATTTATATAATATTATCTACTATTATTAATTGTATAACAAAATATTGTGTGATTACAAAACATAGAATCAAAGATCAAAATTAAGAATTTATAAAA